AGGGGCAGCAGCCACAGCTCTGTCCAGTTAGAGGCGGAGAAGGGGTGGAGGCCAGAGCAGTTCCTTAAACTCTCCTGGAAGGGCACCCCCGCCCCTCAAGATGCTCTCAACTGAGGAAGTCCACTGCTGACCCACCGCTAGCCCTGGGCTTCTGTCCCCAGACGTCACTGCTAGCCACCAGCAGGACACTGCTAGCCACCTCAGCGCCCCCTCACTACTAGCCACCTCAGCGCCCCCCATCACTACTAGCCACCTCACTGCCCCCCATCACTACTAGGCCCCTCACTGCCCCCCATCACTACTAGGCACCTCACTGCCCCCCATCACTACTAGCCACCTCACTGCCCCCCATCACTACTAGCCACCTCAGCGCCCCCCATCACAACTAGCCACCTCGGCCCCCAGACGTCACTGCTAGCCACCTCACTGCCCCCCATCACTACTAGCCACCTCAGCGCCCCCCATCACAACTAGCCACCTCGGCCCCCAGACGTCACTGCTAGCCACCTCAGCAGACTTCAGCCCCCAGACATTCGAATCTTGGCTGGCTGCTTCCCTCCTCTGGGGATGTTCCACTCAAAGTTTGGAAAGTTGGTTTCCTGATTCTTAACTTGTGCCTTTTAGACTTCACTGTACTTTAAGACTTATGTCAGAGAGCAAAAATATCCTCCTCCCGAGCTCTGAAAAGGTAGGTAGCTGCTCCTTTAAAACTTAAAGCACAAGGGGCTGGAGAGATGGCTCGGTGGTTAGAGCACTGGCTGCTCTTGCAGAGGACCAGTGTTTGAATCCCAGCACCCACATGGCAGCTAACAACCGTCTGTAACTCCAGTTCCAGGGGATCTGATATCCCTCTTCTGACCTCTGCCAGCCTTGAACGACATAGGTACACTTATACACATGCTGTCAAATACACTCATATATATACTTTAAAAAAGGCCTAACAGGCTGGGCATAGTGGCACATACCTTTAATCCCAGCACTCCAGAAGGAGAGGCAGGCAGATCTCTGTGAGGCCAGCCTGGTCTACATACCAAGTTCCAGGCCAGCTGGTGCTACAGACCTAAATTGAATTCCCCAGGACCCACATGGTAGAGGGAGAGAACAGACTCCAGCCAGTTGCCCTCTGACCTCCACACGTGTTGTGACATGCCTGCATCCAAGCATACACAGGAAAACACACACAAAATTGTAATGCAAAATCTTTTTTAGGTGTAATGCCATTTTACCACCTCATCTCAACCAGCACCTTGCAGAGCTCCAACCACAGATCTGCAAGAGCCAGTCCCAGGAGGGCATCGAGCTTAGCTCACTCCCAGTCTGCATGGTACTTTCCTGTACCCGGGTTTAGAAAACACTTTCCAATGAGTGGAACATGTTAATCTGCCAATTAATCGAGGCTTCCCTTTCCTGCCATCTCCTGCACACATGCCCCTTCCAAAATCAATGTCTACAGAGCAGCCTCTACAGCATCCCCCAATATCAATGTCGCCCAATACCAACGTCCCCCAATATCAATGTCCCCCAATACCAACGCCCCCCAATGTTTTTCTTAGCTACGCTGTCCACTTTTTACTTTTTGATGTCAGCCTTAGCACCAACACAAACAGCCAGTTTCTGCAGGCTACCTAGGAACCCAAATTCACCGCATTAAGCACACAACTGTGAACTCTGAGGTGAAATGACCACTGACTGCTTCCCGCCTTCCAGTCTTACACCTTAGCATTTCCTTCCTAGATGTTTTTGCTTGTTTGATTTTGGTTTGTTTTAGAAAGGCTCTCAAGGAAGCCCAGACTAGCCAGGAACTCAAGTAGGTAGCCAAGGATGGCCTCAAACTGAGGAGCCTCTTGCCTCTGCCTCCTGAGTGCTGAGATTATAGGCCTATGCTACCATGCCCATGCAGCTGGCAATTGAACCCATGAACACTAGGCCAGCACTTGACCATCTCAGCTACCAAATACAATCTTTATTTTCTGTTTTGAGACAGGGTCTCACTTTGTAGCCCTGGCTGGCCTGGAACTGGTAATATAGACCAGGCTGTCCTTCAACTCACCGAGATCTTCGGCCTCTGCCCCCCAAGTAGTAGAATTAAAGGAGCGCATCACCAGATTTGCCTCTCAGATAAGTTTTTAACTTCTTTAGCATAAATGAATTGTGTCTAGGTGGAAAAAATCCTGTTTGTACTACACTGACAAAAAGCAAACTACTTTTTATTTACCTATACATTTTCTCCCAATACACTCATGCACACCAGGGATGCCTAGTACAATATGAAAACACCACTGACCTAAAGCTAACAGCTTGCAGTGAGTCAGGTCAGGCCAAGGCCTGGTAAGAATGGAGAGCTAGGAGGGTTGGGGGAGAGGAGACTTAAAGATTGGCCATCCAGGGCAAGAGGGCAGATAATCAAGAGGGCCAGTCAGGACCCCAGTGGCTGCAGCAGCACCAAACCAATGAGCATCACACCAAGGCATGCCACTTCTGTCAAAACCTGCACACGATTTAAAATAAGCTGAACCCACTCCATCAGCCTACGGTTAGGTCGCTAACACAACCCCAAAGTTTCTGAATTCCAGGTCAGGGAGGAAAAACAGAACGTACTGTCAGAGTCTGAGTTCCAGGCTCTCTACTCAGCAGAGACCTGAAGTCATTGGATACACACCATCTTCGGTGCTTTAAAGACTAGCACCCCATCTAGCCCACTGTTTGGGTTCCTTACTGTCATCTTGTCACTTAGAAGTTCAACAACTCTCTGGATGAAGGGAGATCAATGAAAAGATGTCTGGGGGTGCCCAGGTATCTGCTAGGGGTTATTTTAAGGATCACAAGGCTCAGAGGATGTTACTGAAGGATGAGAGGTTCCACCTGACTTCAGAGATGTTAAGAAAAAGAGGAAAAGGCACTTGAATTCAATGTTTTTTTTTAAAGGTGAAATAAGATTTTTACATCATAATAAGACATCAAAGCTGGGTGTAGTGGCTCTTGCCTGGAATCCCAGCACTCAGGAGGCTGAGGCAGGATCACAGTACTGTGATGCTTTGAGTTCAAGGCTAACCTGGCCTAGAGAACCAGACCCTGTCTTAAACTACTTTTCTGTTGCTGTGATTAAAAACAACAACACACACACACACACACACACACACACACACACACAGATATCAAACAGCATGGAAGAAAAAAAAAATCTCCCTAAAAACTGTCACACTGAAGTTCTTAAACAGAAAAAAGACCCTCCTGAAATACCCGGAGTGACCATTTTACAACCAATTCACTTATTTCTTCATCTGCCTCAACTCTCTGAGCCAGAAAAGGCTCACTCAGTGGCACCAGAGAACATCCCCTCCCCAACTCCTCGGCCACTAATGGGAGTTAGCTCTTCCTTGAGCAGTTTATGGAAAAGACATCATCCTGGCAACAGGTGGAGGAAGTAGGATGGTCAGAACCCAGGGTGGCAGAGTCCCTGGGAAGGTGCTGCTGATCACCAAGCAGGGTGCCAGCCTGGGGAGGAAGCCTCTGGGGGCAGACGGGAGCCCCTCATCAAAGCGATGAGCATTCCGGCAAACTTCGGCCAGCCTGCAGCAGGCCCGCAGGCTGCTGCGTGCACAGGGGCATCCCGGGACCCGGGGCGGCCGTGGGGACACCGCCCGGCCCCCGAGGTCCTCCCTGACCCCCCAACCCCGGCATGCGCCCGCGGCCCGGGTACCTCTTGGCGCTGGTGGAGAGCAGCTTCGAGTTCTTGCTCATGCTGACTTTGCTGTCCTTCTTCCTGGGGGTGCTGGCTTCCTTCTCGGGCTGCTGCGTGGACGACGAGGACGAGGAGGAGCTGCTGCTGGCCCTCGAATCGTCATCAGACATAGCGAACCCCCCACCCACCCGAGAACGGCCCCTGCAGGGAGGACAGAACGGAAGCGCCGGCCATGGGGGGGCGGGTCAGCAGGGCGCCCCCCCCGGCGGAGGCTCGGGGCGCGGCGCACACGCGGGGGCCGCGGACACGCGGGGGGAGGAGACGGGAACGGCCGGGCGCCGCCAGCCCC